GCGCGACCATCTCGTCGAGCGGCTGCAACAACATGGACTTCATGAAACCCGCGGCGAACGCGTCTCCAGCTAGCACCGTCTGGAATACCTGCAACTCCTGCGAGCAGTACCCATCAAGGTGCAGCACCCTCAGCGCACGGGACAGAGAGATCTGCAGCTTGGCCAGCCAGACCGAAACCCAAACTTGATGGCTGCCTGCACAAGGCACCGATGCGAGACCTGCTCGAATGCCTTCCAGAGGCCCAGCAGGATGCTGGCAGAGGCCCAGTCTTGATCGGGGCGCAGTTCAGCCACCATCGCAATCCACTCTGATGTCGTCTGCTGCTGCCACACCGGTCTGTAACATGAGCGCCCTGAGCATGCCCACCAGTAGGGCCTGTCACTGGCCCTCTCCCACTGCTGCATGATGGGCCTGCGAGGCCTGCCGTGAACTCTGACCACCGCTGCCAACAACGCAACGGGTCGAAGGCCTCCATCTGCCTTGGGAATGAAGGCCATCTTGGTGATGACACTGGACCAATCTGCTTGCTGCTCGATGGCCATCATCAGATCAATGAGGGCCTCAATGCATAGGTCATCCATCAGATTGAATTCCCTTGGACGGACGCTGTCAAAGTTGGACCCAGACTGGGGCTTGAAGGACGAGATCACTTTCCGGTGCTCGGCCACAGTAGGCCTGTCGGGGCGCTCTCCGAGGCCCTCAGGCCAAGGCAGACGGTGCCTTTTCAGGCTCGAGCTCCCTCGGGGTCTTCGCACCATGCACACCACCACCTGCTGCCAAGACTGGCAGGACCTGGGGGGCGACGATGTCCCAGCATCTGGACCACTTCGACCAACGCCTGCAGGCTCTGCCGAATGGTGAGCGGCGCCACACCAACCGCGTTGGCTGGCTTCGCATTCCATAACTGAGCCGTCTTCGTGACAGCATGGATGACGCCTGAGCCCGTGGCGACAGGGCGCAGCACCCAGTCGTTGCAATTCTTGGAGGCTTCGTCGAGATCCGTCTCGACCATTGCCTCGGACCAGCTGAAGCACGCCGCACTGAGCACCTCAAGCTGATCAAGGGAGAAATCCCGCGCGCAACTGGCGACGATGCTGACCACGCCCTGCAGCTCTGCGAGGTCGGGCGGCGGCCTGCTAGCTAGCCTGCCCAAGGCGCGCAGGGCTCCGAACCTGGTGAGCGGCCGCTCGATCTGCGCTGCGTCTCAGAGACAGATAGCCACCGACCTGCGCCAGGTCGAAGCTCGAGTGGCGCGCGGCAGCCTAGGCGGCGACGGCGCCGTGGCTGAGGTGGCTGAAAGCCTGGGCCGTTCCGCGCGGCCTGAGTACCTGTCGAGGTCGTTGATGAGCCCGCGCGCGTCAATCAGGTTGACCTCCGCCTGCTTGACGAAAGCCCGCCACATACTGCCCAAGTCAGTCATGCGCTCGAGCTGGTCGCGAATGGCCCGCTAAGCTGGGCCGTGATCCTGCGCGCAGCAGGCCAGCGACCTGGGCAGGGGCAGTCGCTTGGCCGCGCGCATGACGGCGACCTTCTGGCGCCTGCTCGAGCCGAGCAGCTCGGGTGCCACTGGATCGCGCGAGCTGAGGTCCAGCCCGTGGATAACGCTGGCCTTCGCCCCGCGGCAGAGCCTCGAGACCACGACGAAAACAATGACCCTGCCAGCGGGTCTGCACGTTGCCCCCGCGGGCGCGGCAACGACCGGCTGCGCCGCCTCTAGCCAGCCAGACTCTTCCAAGACTGACGGCTCCATGGCGAAGTCCCCGCACACGATGAAGGGCCTGTCGGCCGCCTGCAGGGCCTTGAGCACCGCGCAGAGGGCAGCGGCATTGCTCTGGTTGAGCCCGGCGTTGACCTCCAGATGCACGTCGACCCACGCGATGCCACCACTGCAGGCGCCATTGAGGCGGGAGATGATGGCGCGACCAGGCTCCAGCACCGCCTGCTTGCCGAGCAGGTCGATCGGCTCGAGCCCGAGATGCTGGGGCGCCATCTGCACAAGGCCTCCAGTTCGCTGGGAACCAAGCCCAACGTTGATCGCTGGCGCGGCCTCCGAGGCCCATGCGAGCCGTTGAGGCTGTCATTGAACGTCTCGAGTGCGCTGCGAATCCAAATGCGTCTCTTGAACGGCAACGAAGCCGCAGCACCTGACAGTGGCTGCGCAAAGCAGGTTGGCGAACCTCGACCACGCATTGCAGTTGACCGCGAGGCCAATCCACCAACGCCCTCGCTTGTCCGCCGCCCTGGGCGTGAGAGAGGAACGATTGCCACCAATGGCCCCGCCGAGGCCGCTACCCCGAGGTCGTGGAGCGCTTGGCGGCCCTGAGCGTGTCCAGTGCCTCCTGGAGCCTCTTCCTCTCGCTCTCGTCCGCAGCGCTGCCGAGAAGCCCTCCATGATCCTCACCTCCATGATCTTGTCGAACTCGTCGCTGCCTGGACCTCCTGCCATGGGAACATCAGCCACATCTGCGCCACCGCCTGCGCCTGCACCAGGAGCGCCTGGACTTCCACCTGTGGCTGGGACAGCGCGGGCAGGCTCTGGCTCGGGATGTGGCGGGGCTGCGGCAGCAGCCATCTCGCCCAGAATCGCGGCGAGGCTAGCCAGGACCTCGGCGCCCGACTTGCCCTCCGTGTCGATGGAGGCGACCTTGTCTTTGACGGAGCGGAACGTGTCCTCAGCCGCGGTGGACGAGTAGGGCTTCGCCGCCTGCTTGGCCTGCTCGAGCTCCGCCTTGCGCTCAGCGACGGCCCGATCCGCTTCTGCCAGCGCCTCCAGAGCCTTGCGAAAGTTTTCGCAGAAGCGCTCACGCGTGGCTGCAGCGTCGGCGACGGCCAGCGGTGCTTGATCGACTGCCAGAGGAAGCTTCCGCGCCTCCGAGCCCAGGACACCAGCGGCTGCCTTACGACGTGCCGACTCGACCTTGTCTCGGCTGCTGCGTGAAAGTCCGTCCTTGACGATCTCATTCGACTCCGTGGCCATGGCTGTGTAGGCTGCAATCTTCCCTGGCGTGAGCGTGAGGGTCGCGGGAGCAGCAGGCCCTCCGCCGTTAGGTCCGAGCCCTTTGCCACCACGCCCTTTGCCGCGGCCGCCTTTGGGTCCCTGCTTGGTCCAGGGGGCTCCGAGGTTGCCGCCGCCGCACTTACCCCAAGGTTTGTGGTTGTCGTTCGCTGCTGGTACATTGTGGTCCGTCCGCTTGCCCTTACAGCCAAGCTTGATGCAGAGTGACGGGTGTTGTGGCGTATAACCACCGCAACGCACGCACTGCCAGCACTTCGCCATGAGAGCCAGGGGGTCCAAGCGACCAGACAGAGTCGGAACAAGTCTGCGCACCCCCAGGCTGAGGGAGGCAGGTGATGACCAGGGGCGGACCTGGCACCACAAGAGGATGAATCGCAAGCTCGGGGAACAGAGCTATCCCGCTTTTGCCTGGAGGCTTGCAGCTTCCCAAGCATGGAGTCTTGAGCCAAAATGGCTACAGAGTGCCACTGGGGCCTTCGGTGGAGCTCCCTATGGGGCCACGAAACGTGTGAGGGGTGTGCCGAAGTGAGGCGGTGCTGCCATGCGAGCACTGCAAGTGGGACCTTCGGTGGAGCTCCCTGTGGAGCCGCGAAGCGTGAGAGATGCACCAAAATGGAGCGGTAGCGGTGCCGCCATGCGGACGCTGGCCGTGGGGCCTTCGATGGAGCTCCCTCTAGGGCCACGGAACGTGAGAGGGGCGTGCCGGAATAGGAGCGGCACCGCCATGCGGACGCTGGCCGTGGGGCCTTCGGTAGGGCTCCCGATGAGGCCACGGACCGTTTGAGGGGCGCGACGGAATGTGTGCGGTGCCGCCATGCGGGCGTTGCCACTGGGGCATTCGGTGGAGCTCCCTCTGGGGCCACGAAACGTGAGAGAGGTGCGCCAAAATGTGCATTCGGAGGGCAGAGGGAGGGATGGGAGGAGGGAAGGAGGAAAGGAGGAAGGAGGAGGGAAGGGGAGAGAAGAGGAGGAAAGGAGGACGCGGGACGCTGTGTCTTCAAAACGAATACCAAACACCACAGGATGGTTGGGAATCAAACGCTCTTGGGCTCGGGGGTGCAGCCATGTGGCGGCGAGTCAGAAAACTCGACTCCCGACGGGCACCATCCTGACCAGCTACTCCTGCCGCGCCCAGCCGTGGCAACGAGGGTCTCCCCGAAAGTTCAAACTAGAGAAAACGTAACGCAGGGACGCACAAATAGGCAAGAGTATATCTACAACCCTCACGAAGGCCCAGAAGAACTGACAGGAATCAAAATCTATCCTTCGAACCCACGGACCTAAGACAGAAACAGCATGTCATGCATGCCCTAATGCGCACGTGCACTGATCGATGTTCAGAAGCTTCATGAGCAACCAGACGCACCTTCAGAGGGCGCGCTGACCCTCTCAGAAACGAAAGTTGCATGCCTGCGGGCATCCAGACAAACTCTTGAATCAAGCCCAGAACCAAGTCTGAAGGCGCAAGCTTGCTCACCCGGAGTGTGGCGCCAGGAACTTCGCCCGGGCGATGCTTGACAGGCTCTCTATGACCAGCCGCGTTCGGCGCACAGCGGGACGTGATCCTGCTCGTGTTCCCTCTTCCCCAGACCTCCCTCCGACGTTGTGTTTTTGTTCGAGAACGTGGACCCCCTTGGAGGTCGGAACCGTTTGTCCCCGGGGCCGGATGCTCCTCCCGAGCCGTTCTCGGACCGTCCCGGGGCCCTCCTTAGGCCAAAAATGGCCGAAGACCTCCCGCCTCGATGCTCGTTCACGGCGCGACGGCCCCCCCTCCCTCCTGCGAGGCGGGAGTATGTCCATATCCACCGCCTGTGGAACCGACGTCATGGGACCGCAGCGGGCGGTGGATATGGACAGATTGGCCTCTCCAGGGCCCGAACATTATCCACCGCCTGCCGACGTCCCCCGAGGTCGACCCCCTGGGCGGTGGTTCTGGAGAAGTGCCCGTCTCGGACCTCCCGCTCCTGGCTCAGGCGCGAGCGCCTGGATCTCCTCCGCGTCGTCCACGACCAGGTTCATGTACCTCCGAGGTCCGAGGGGAGAGGGGGGTGGGGGGGGGGGGGGGGAAACCGAACTGCGCATCCCCGCGCGGGCCTCCCCGGGAATCGGGAGGGAGAGCGATGGGGTCGATGCACCCAGCCGCGCCAACTCGCACGACACCCCGGGAGCTCCTCCAGCACGGCGGCGAAGACGAAGACCGAGGCAGGGGAAGACAGTGGCACACGGCGAGGCCCTCCCGTTTCTCTGCCCTTTCCTCCCCCGCCCCCGGCCTTCGCCCCGGGGAAGCCCTCCCGACCCCGCGGCGCGGCAGGGAGAGCGAAGGGGGGGGGGCGGAGGAAGACGAGAGGGGAGGGCAAGCCACAGATGCGCTTGCGCCGTGCCGGACGTCCTGGCCCTCCCACCCGTCCCTCTTCCGGCTGCCCTGGTCGCTCCTCGAGCCGCGGGCGCGTGTCCTGGCGGACCTGGAATTCCGAGAAGTGTCCCAGTAGTGGGGTGCGCAGTCGGAGAAAGAGAGCTGCGCACATCGGAGGAGGTGGCGGATGAGCAGGAGGGTGAGCAGGAGCAAAAGGAGGAGGAGGAGGAGGAGAAGAACGATAAGGAGGAGGAGGAAGAGGAGGAGGAGGAGACGGAGGGGGAGGAGGAGGAGGAAGGAGGAGGAGGAGCAGCAGCAGCAGGAGCTCGCAGAAGGACCAGTGGAAGGCGGAGGAGGGAAAAGGCGGGGGGCGACAACGATGAGGAAGGACTCGGATCTGGAAAAATGGCCCGCGCTGATGCGAGAGGGCAACTGATGAACGATGGGAACAAAAGAGCGATCCTTAAACGAGGCTACCGCTGCAGCGGGATGCAGCAGGATGACCGGAAACGATCGGACTGTTTGCAAAAAACTGGAAACGCAACGTTTGAAATCCGGAGTAGCATTTGAAGGACCCAACCAGATGCAATTGTGAGCAACGCAATTATGAGCATCGTCTCCGGAGTTCCCTGTGGGGCCACGAAACGTGCGAGGGATGTGCCGAAATGGGTGGGGGGACGCATGCGGCCAATGCTACTGGGGCCTTCGGTGGGGCTCCCCATGGAGCGAGACGCGTGGGGATGTGCTGAAAAGGGCAGGGGGGGCGCATGTGGCCACTGCCGCTGAGGCCTTGGGTAGAGCTCCTATGGAGTTACGAAAAGTGTGAGGGGTGTGCAGAAATTGTGGGGGGGACGCATGTGGCCAGTGCCACTGGGGCCTCGGGTGGAGGTCTCCATTGGACCACGAAACTTGTAAAGAGTGTGCCGAAATGATGGAGGGAAAAGCATGTGGCCACTGCCAGTGGGGCCTTTGATGTAGCTCCCCACGGAGCCACGAAACGAGCTGGGGGTGTGCCAAAATCTGTTCGGGGGGCCACTGCCTCTGGGGCCTTCGGTAGAGTACCTCATGGGGCGACGAAACGTGTGGGGGGGGTGCTGCGGGGGGCGCATGTGGCCACTGCCACTGCGGCCCTCGGTGAGGTCTCTACTGGACCACGGAACGTGTGAGGGGTATGCCGAAATAGTGGGGGGGCGCATGTGGTCACTGCCCCTGGCGCCTTCAGTGGAGCTGCTCCCCACGGAGCCACGAAACGCATGAGGGGTAGGGGTTGGGGTGTTCCGAAATTGGCGCGGGGTGCGCATGTGGCCACTGCCACTGGGGCCTTCATTAGAGCTCCTATGGGGCCACGACACGCGTGAGGGATGTGCAGAAATTGTGGGGGGGACGCATGTGGCTAGTGCCACTGGGTCCCCATTGGACCACGAAACTTGTGAGCGGTGTGCCGAAATGGTGGGGGAGGACGCATGTGGCCAATGCCACTGGGGCCTTCGGTGGAGGTTCAATGGAGCCACGAAACGTGTGAGGGGTATGCCGACATGGGGATGGGCAGGGATAGGAGGACGGAGGGGAGAGGGAGTGAGGTGACGCGGAACGCTGCCTCTTCAAAGCGAAGACCCAACACCACGTGATGGTTGCGAAATAATGCCCACATTGAATAATTGTGGAGGGGTGATGGAGGGGGAGAAAGGGAGGGAGGAAGAAGAGAAGGGACGAGGGGGAGAGGATGAGGAGAGTGAGGAAGAGGAGGAGGAGGATCTCGAGGAGGAGAAAGGAACAAAAGAAGAAGGGGAAAGAGAAGGATAAACAGGAGGAGGATGAAGGGGAGGGGAGACAAGGAGGGGAAAGAGACCCACTGGCGTTCCACAGGCGTCTGGAGGTTCCTGGACCTTTGGGATGTCCCTTGAAGATTCTTGGAGGGTCCAGAACCACGGGAGTAGAACATGCCAAGTGTGTCGGGGGCGAACTGGCCACTTTGAGCCTGCGGCAGCTGTTCTGGCAGACGGCACACGGTTTTGCGCAAATGCGCGCCACTTGTCCGCAATGCGTCCTACGACTGCTGTCTCAAAGAACAATGAGAAGGCGAAACCTCGACAGAAGCCACCGAAACAGAAGGCGCGTGGCTCGGCCAAGTGAGATGGGCAAAAGATGGGAGATCATGAGATCCTTCCGTCCGCGGGATGTGGCAGACTGTCTTGGCAGAACGGGACATACACGACACAAACCGTCGCAAAGTAAGCGATTGCGGAGCAATACGTCCCGTCGTCGAAACGAGTGCTTGAGAGCACCTACGGCTCCGAACAAGTACTGATACTCGAACGACGCCCTAGACTACAGAAACGCTACATGCTTTGAGGCTGACGGTCTGGAAATAACGCAACCCTTCCAAAGAGACAGAGCGCTTCGCATGAGATCGTGAATGAGCTGCCCCTGTGTTCCAAACCCCTCCAAAACTGCACTGACCACTCTGTCCACTAACGAGCTCGTCCAGCCGTGTTTCCAAAAGAACCCACGGCGGTGCGCAAATAGCTGCTCATCATTCGACGGGAGTCTCCTCCCAAGCCGCCTGGAGACAAAAGCGGATCACCGATGTGGCCCCACTGCAGTGCGCGCCCTGCTTCGCAGGGGCGCTCTCGTGAACTATGGAAAAGAAGACGGGGCCTTCACTCAGAAACCGGCGAGAGCCTAGCGCGCCCCCTGGCGGGATTGCACATGGCTCGGGCTCGGCGACTCCGAAGGGTGTGATTTGCAAAAGGCGTGGTTTGCCACCCGCACCCTGGGGGGCGGGCAAGCACCTCGACAGAGTTCTCCGCCGCGTCCCGAGGCGGCCCGACGGGGGCAACGTGCTGCCCCCCAAGCCCCAACCGACACAGGTCGCAAACCACACCACCGCGTAACCACAGCCTTGTATAGGGGAAGAGCAAACAATGCCATAAACATAAAAACTCAGACGTCCGCGCGGACTTCTCGGATCGGCGCTGGGCCCCCCTCCCTGGCGCGCGGAGCGCGCCAGGAGGCGCTGGGCGGCGCTGGAGGCGCCGCCAAGGGGCTCCAGCGCCGATCCGAGAATTCTGCGCGGGCCCACAGAAGCGACCGAGAATGGCCCGCGGAGGGGCCGATCGAGGGGGCCGCGCACTGGGATCCCTCGCCCAGGCGTCCAGTAGTATCAGCACTCGGATCAGTGCTGGGCCCCCTCCTCTTCCTGGCGCGCGGGTAGCGCGTCATAGGGGGCTCTACTAGCGCCAGCCCAAGAAATCAGCGCGGACCGCCGAGTTTTCATATGCTGATGCCGCTGCTTGGTGATAGTCTTATCATTCGCCTCGCACGCTGTGATCCTGCCTCACTGCGCGCTTCGACGCTGAGGCGAAAGCTGCCTCGACAGATAAGAGGCCGCGGCGGGGCTGATCGAGGGGGCCGCGCACTGGGAGAGGAGGAGGAGGAGGAGCAGGAGGAGAAAGAGGAGGAGGATAATGATGAGCAGGCGGAGGAGAAAGAGGAGGAGGAGAAGGAGGAGCAGGAGCAGGAGCAGGAGGAGCAGGAGGAGGAGCAGGAGCAGGAGCAGGAGAGGCAGGAGGAGGAGCTGGAGGAGGAGGAGGAGGAGGAGGAGGAGGAGCACGAGGAGCAGAAGGAGCAGGACGAGGAGGAGGAGGAGACTACCGAAGACTAACTCCCCCACCCTCCACATTACAGCGAGGGAAGCCATAGCAGCCACGGTAGTCCCCGACATTTCAACCCACCAATAAATAGGACGATTCAAATACCTACCTCGCCTACTTAATGACGCACCACGGATTATGCTACGACGCCTTGACACTATCGCTATGATCAAAAGAGGATGTGTACAGCTGCTCATGAATGACGTCAACTTCTTTCGAAGGTACCTCAGACATGGGAGATGGAACGCCGAAGGTCAAGACGATCATCACGGCATCGACTGGGCTACGTAGGCGGAAACCGAAGGAGTTCAAATCGGCCGTGGGCAAACCTACCAACGCATTCTTAAGACACGCATGCGAAGATGCCAAGACAGGTATAACAAATCGGGAGATTGGATACGCCCAGCAAGATACCTCGAACGGACGCTCAGTTACAGATGCACCTATCACGGAGTACATCTGCTACATTTGCGAACGAGTCACCGCCACTAAGCAGGGTATGACTGTACATGTGGGAAGATATCACAAGCACCATGACGACCCTCGACAATGGGCGACAGGTACAGCGTGCCGACGCTGCCAAACAGAATTCCATTATTGCCCACGACTTGTCAAACACTTAAAGGCATCACGGCAATGTTCAGCGTCCTGGTACGCGTGGCACACAATCTACGGCATGCTCTTGACCGACCAGCAGATCGCCTTCAACAACACTTGCCATAAGGAAGTTACCCCAAAGAACCGACGTGATGGACGATCCGAAGCGTACGGAGCACTACCTGCTCATCGATGCGACATCACGCCTCTACCCATCCTCGAGACATCCCCACAACAACCCAAGGTCTACGCCCCACTCCGCACTAGACAACCTGCGCAACACCCTCATCTCCCAAACGCGTCACCACGACAGGATATTGTTCGAATAGACGACGGTTCTGGGATGCACACCGAAATCGTCCAGCACTTGATCGCTCAGGGCACCTACAGCTTGCGGGTGACAGAGTACGCCCACATCAG